AAAATGCTTAAGCTGAAGTTGATAGTAGTACACTATCAGACCCTTATAAGCCAATCTTAATCTTGCCCACTTTCGATGTGGGACTAATCAGGGGTGTTACATAGAGTACCGCCACTGGGGCAACTTTCTATTTCGTTGTCCAACTGATCACTCTATGACAATGCAAAGATTTGAGGGCTAGGCCTAGAGACATCTGACATGAATAAAGAGACGGAGAGAGAGAGAGCTACTACTGCAACAGCTTGCTCTGTTACTATCCATCCGACCATCAGACTAAAACTTCCAAGATTTAAAAGCTAGGCATAGAGACATCTGAAATGGAGAGAGCATGTACCAGTGTGCTACTACTGCAGCCTTCTCTTTTGTTGTCCAACTGATCAATCTATGACAAAGCCAGTGATTTAAAAAGCGCTAGGCGCCAAAAGGCGCCAATGTCCGAAAACGCCCAAGGCGCTAGGGGCTCGCCTAGGCGCTCGCCCGAGCGAAGTGAGGTGCTAAAATATAAAAATATATAATATAATTAATAAATATAATTATTTAAATAAAAAATATGCTATTAAATTAAGAAAATCGAGTACAAAATCATAATAAATAAATATATCATAATAGTATTTTTATTTTTAAATAAAAAAAATAGTATTAAATAAATAAAAATTAATAATATTAAAATTAAAATAATATATTATTAATCTAATAAATAAAAATACTATTATTAGTATACAGTTAGCAGTATACTGTTAATATACTGTTAACAGTATAGTGAGAAGAGTGTGAGAAGACCGAGGCTGCTGAGGCAACGGCAGCGGTAGCAAGCGATAGCCGTAGCTGGAGCTGGAGCGGGAGCAGGAGCGGGAGCGGGAGCGGGAGCGACGAGCGGCGACGACAGCGGGAGTGGGAGCGGGAGCGGCGAGTGACGATAGCAGCAGCGAGCGATGACAGCAACGGCGAGCAGCGATTGTGGCAGCGGCAAGCAGTCGACAAGCAGCGATTCTGGCAGCGGCGAGTAGCAACAGTAGCAACGAGCAGCGACAATGGCAGTGGCAGTAGAGAGCAGCGACAGCGGAGAAGAAATCGCGATCGCAAGTGTTAGGGTTGGGGAAGTCGGGGAAATCACGAGAGGGAGCTTGATATCGGTGATTTAGTTGGTTTGATTGAACCAACTAAATCACCGGAGACCAACCAGACCTAAAAATCTGGTTCAGTCGCCTGGTTTAACCCAGGCGCTCGCCCGAAGCACCTGGCGCCTGGGCTCGGGCGAGCGCCCAGGCGGCGCCTCTTTGAAGCGAGGCGCTCGGGCCTCGCCTCGCCCGAGCGCCGGGCGCTTCAGGCGAGCACTCAGGCGGCGCCTCTTTGAAGCGAGGCGCTCGGGCAAGGCGAGCGCCCGAGCGCCTACTGAAATCACTGGACAAAGCTAAGATTCAAAACTAAGCCAAGGACACCTAACATGGGGGGGAGAGAGAGAGAGAGAGAGAGAGGAGTAGAGACGACTAC